GGAAGGAAGGAGGAAGGGAGGGAGGAAGGACAGATGGACAGACAATTTCTAACAAACATCTATAAACCCCAGTGCCTAGAAACTAAGGCCTGGCCAGGTATGTGCAAAACAATCACACACCAGGTGCCAGGGGCTCAGGGTGGCCATCCCACCTACCCTGGAGGCTGAGGGTGGAAGGACTGAGATTCTAGGCCAGCCTGGGAAGAAACATGACTCCCAGTGTCAAAAATAACCAACAGGGGCTGAGAGGGCGGCTCAGAGGTAGAGCGCTTGCCTAGCATGCATGAAGCCCTGGGTTCGGTTCCTCAGTACCACATACACAGAAAAAGCCAGAAGTGGCGCTGTGGCTCAAGTGGTAGAGTGCTAGCCTTGAGCTAGGAGTTCAAGATCAGCCTGAGCTACATAGCAAGACCCTGTCTAAGAAAGAAAAGAGCAGCGCCCAAACTCCCCCAGCCCAGTAGTGTCCTGCAGAAGAGGGAGGAAGCACGGGAATGAAAAACAGAAGACAGACCTCTAACACCACCCTGTCTGCCTCAGGATTTGAATGTGTAGGGGTTTCCTCTAGTTTAAAAAAGAGGGGGGCCGGGCACTAGTGGCTCAAGCCTGTAATCCTAGCTACTCAGGAGGCTGAGATCTGAGGATCAGCTCAAAGCCAGCCTGGGCAGGAAAGTCTGCGAGACTTATTTCCAAAGAACCACCAGAAAACTGGAAGTGGAGTTGTGCCTGAAGTGGTAGAGCACTAGCTTTGAGCTGAAGAACTGAGGGACAGTGCCCGGGCCCAGAGTTCAAGCCCCAGGACTGAAAAAAAAAAAGCGGAGGTGGGGGGAGAGGAGGGATATATTAGAGAGAGAACTTCATTTTTGTGTGTATGCCCATATTAGGCTCGAACTCAGGGCCCTGAGCTCTCGCTTGGCTTTCTCCACTCAGGCTGGTGCTCTACCACTTAAGGCACAACTCTACTTCTAGCATTTTGCTAGTAAACTGGAGAAAAGTCACACTGATTTTACCTACCCAGCCTGGCTGTGAGCTGTGTTCCTTAGATCTCAGCCTCCCGAGGAGCTAGGATTACAAGTGAGCCACCAGTGCCCGCAAAAGTAACTTTTCTTAAAAACTGAACCGAATGAATCTAATTACATAGAGAGTTGATGGTGTAATTAGGATAATTGCAACACAGAATTATCTCAAGTGGTTTTAAACACTATTATTTTGACTGTGGACCAACAAAACACACGCAGAAATACAGAAGTACCTTTGCTGGCACCGGCCTGAAAGGGAATGCTGGTATGTGGTATTTGCAAACTAGGATGTGTAGTAGAATAAAGAAATGAAGTAACTAGCTGGGTGCTGGTGGCTATGCCTGTAATCCTGAGGGTCGTGGAGGTATGGCTCAAGTGGTAGGGTGTCATTCTTGTGCAGAGAAAGCTAAGCAAAAGCTTGAGTTCAAGTCCCAGCACTAGCACCAAAAAAAAAAAAAAAAGGAAGAAAGAAAGAATTATATTGACATTGAAGACAGAGATTTCTTAACATTAAGACATTAAGGAAAAGCTAAGTATTCTAAATCTGTGATTGGAAATATAGCATGAATCGAGTATTTATTATTTCCTGTAGGCTAAGCATTCAGGTTTCCTGTCATCAACCAAGTGGACTGGCAGTGGTGACAGGCCAGCGCAGCCTCTGCCCGGGAGGAAGCATCTCTCTCTCACCCACTGCACACAAGGTCTGAACCAGACAAGCCCAGGACTTTTTGGATGCGTGAGAGCAAAAATTGTATGAAAGGGGAAATAAATAGGTCAGCCTGACAGGTTGCTACTGGCCAGAGTGCAGCTGGCCATCAACAATGAAATAATGATAGGACTGCACAGCTCTTGGTGAGTTGTATTCAGTGATGAAGCCCGGCCTCTTTCAGCTGGCATCACGTTCATGGTGCTTATCTTCATGGTTAATACTCCACGGTGCCGATGCACCACACTCCCTTTATCTGTTTGCTGACGCTTTGGGGTTGTTTCTGCCTCTTGACTGCTGTAACAAGGGCTGCCACCGACTTCCACACACAAGCGTCTGTCTGAACGCCTGTTCCTGTCTCTTGGACACAGGCCTCGAGGCTGGGTCTTACGGTCACCCACGTGTTTTGGGGGCATAAAACCTGCCCTATCAGTCAGCGGGGATTCCCTGCCCCTGGCCCATCTCTTCCTGCCCGCTCTGGTGTGTGCTGGGCTCACACGCCAGCACTAGGGCTGGAAGACACCTCAGAAGGCAGGTACTCTGGGCCCTTGACTTACCTGGGGCTGGCGGCTAGCTAACCCCAAGGCCGGCAAGGAGCTCATCAGCTCCCGCAGGAGACCTGCTCTGCTTTTGGACTCCTGGCATTGCCTGGTTACGTGCCTTCCTAACAACCATTTCGTGCAACCACTGTCCCTTAGGTTTTGCCCTTAGAAATCTACTTCCAGCCAAATCCATCAATATCGCCTGGGTTCCAAATGAGAGCCTAAATATGGACAGTGGGAGAAGGGGGCATCTCACTGTGTGCGCCTCAGAGCACAGGAAGCACTTACCCAGCGGCCTCACCGTCGTGTCCACGCAGCATGCTTTCTCTGCACCGCTGCCCACTGCCCCTCCCCAGACCTCCCAAGCAGACATTGCTAGATTTTGGAGATGCTTCCAGTGTCTGCTCCTGCCCACCAGAGTTCACTTCAGGTACCACCAAGCTCCCTGCACAAGGCTGCCCAGCTCTCACCCAGGACAGCTCCAAGCGGACCAAAGGCATAAACTGTCTATGTTGCACTAGGACTTCAGTGTTCTCCTGAAGGCAGGAACTGTGATCTTTACTCATGGCTCCTGTAGCTAAACCTGAAGCATCCCATGCCAAACCTACCTACCAAGAGCATGGGTTTCCCTTTGAGGTCCGCCTGGCCAGCTTCCTGACCGTCCACTCAACTCTCCTGAGACAGTAAGCTGGGACAAATGAGCAAGACAGTGTGAACTAAAACCCCCAGCATGTCCTGTCACCATGACTCAGTCACAACTTGGCTGGCACTGTCATCTTTCCAGGCCCCCACCCCACCCATCTCTAACCTCAGTTCTCTTCCTGAGGTCCACAGTAAGCACTGGGGATCGGATCTGCAGACATCAGCCAGGTGTGGAGGGATGGAGAAGCACTGGCAGGTTTAGAGGGACATGAAACCATTGGACCATAGATCCCACAAGCCCAAAGGGCAGGGGGCAGCTAAGCGCAGCTTAGTGCAGCTGTGGGGTGGGAATCTATGCCACGTGCTTCTGGAAGAAGCTCATCTCCTCACAACTCAAACCTGGCCTTCGTGTCATTTCTGTCAAAGAACCTAAAAGTCCCAACTGCTACTGCAGGTGTATGTAACCAGAACACGTCATCTTTGTGTCTCCACTTTCTGGAAAGCTCTATGCTTTCCTAAGTGTTGCATTCTACTTTACACCATAGATTCTCCCAACTGCTCCACAAAGCAAGACTCAAAGACTCCCCACTCCCCGAAGACACCATATTGTTACTAAAAAGTAGGAAGAATCTTTCCCACCTAACTGGATAAAATTCGTATCCTGCACACACCCAGGACCAACTCTACTAATTGGCCATCAGGTCTAACTCCCATAAACCCAAAGATCTATGCTCACAATTACTAAAGTCTAAGAGATAAATTAGAAAATACAGGCAAAGTAGAAGCATTATATTTTGCAACAATTCCTTCTTCCAATGGGACTTCAAAGTCCCTGCCCGCCCCATGTTAAAGGTGAGCAGCATCCCATAACTGTTTCAACATGTACAAGAACGCAAGGTACTTGCACTTACAGGTTACAAACACATTTGCTTTATATTGGAAGTAAAAGGTCTTGATGGGAGGTTTCATCTCTACAATGGGAAAAAGTTCAGATCATACAGACTCCTAAGACCTGCTTGTGAAGGTAGCAAGCATATACGGCCAGTCTGTTTAGGCCAGTACATACAGTAAGCTCTTCCTTGTGACTCCATTCTCTGTCCTGTAGGACCAGGAACCATGCCATCTCTAGGCATCCAAGCATGTATGATACAAGGGGCAAGTTGGATGGGGACACATCATACATATGGTAATGACACATGGAAACATACTATGCTAGAAAAAATGTTCTCTAAAAAAATTGGTTACTGCTGGGCGTCTGTCACGTCTGTCATCCTAGCTACTCAGGAGGCTGAGATCTGAGGATTATGGTTCTAAGCCATCCATTCCAGGCAAGAAAGTCTGTGACACTCTTACTCCAATAAACTACTCAGAAAAAGCCAAAAGTGGTGCTGTGGCTCCAGCAGTGGAGCGCTACCCTTAAGCAGAGGCTCAGGAACAGTACCCAGGCAGAGCTCAAGCCCCAGGACTGGCCAAGAAAAGAAAAAAATTGGTCACCATAACACACGGTGAGAGAGCGTCCATTCATTCTGCCTGTGGGGCGGTGGTCTCCCCTTTCTACACTGCTAAAAGAAAAACCCTTTCAAAAGCTGAAGGTCTCATTCTCAACACATCTTTGAAGGCTGAGAGTTCTGACTGGAGCCAGTGGCAACCCCAGCCATCCTCCCCGAATACTGACTTATTAGGCACCCCCCCCACACACACACGGAGATAAAAGCTAGTCTAGTACAATCCCCTTATGCTGTCTTTTGAGGAGACATTTAACCAACGGGGATCCCTTTTACCATAAACTTTAATCCTTAAGCTGCCAGTCAGATGTAAAGGTCAAATGTCACCACTACTAACATGACTACACTTTAAAGCAGCTCTTCCCTAGGGGACTGATTACCTGACCAAAACAGAGACGGGACAGACTGTTTTGTATTTACTCAGCTCAACTTCGGTCACTGGTGACAATCCCAACTGACATGAAAGTAAGACACAAGGAGGAACCGACGGAACAAGTTAAATCATCACCAGTGAAGGCAGCCTAAGCAGTCCCGTGGCACAAGCTTTCCTATTCTAAAACACATACAAACAAGGGATGAGTTCGCTTGCTTAGGTACTTGAAATACAACTTTATTCTGATTCTAAACGAAGGGAATGGGAATGACAGTAACAAACAAGGTTTCACCACTGGATATTGTGATGTGACTGTAGCAGTCTTATCTTTGAAACTCAAGAAGGAAACAACTGCTTTCCAAACAGCTAAGTATGCAAGTCCAAAAAATGAAGGTATTTAACTGCCACATTCATTCTGAAGCCCATTCATCTCCTTCAGCATCCCAAAGATGAAGCACATGTTCTGCTTAGCTAGGTAATAAAGTGGCACACGCGCGGCACCGCTGACATCACAGGACAGTTGCCTATAAAACTAGACTTCTGACGCCGGCTCCAGCTTCGCCTTCTCACAGGTCGTCATCCTCATCCGGGAGAGCGGTGGTCTGAGCAACCTAGGAGGAGACAAAGGGCAGCGCTCCAGAGGAAACCGCCATGACACCCGCGGCGGCCCCCCACCCCCACAACAGGCCATACCTCAAGGTCATGCTCATACTGCGCGGCCAAGGCTGGATCCATGACCACCTCCGGTGGGGCGAGAGCAGGCATGGCGACAAACTCCAAGTTAGGGTCTCCAATGAGCTTTCTAGCGAGCCAGAGGAAGGGCTTTTCAAAGTTGTAGTTACTTTTGGCAGAAATGTCGTAGTACTGTTTGAAACAAAAGGAAATGAACCTTTGCAGTAAGTCTCACAACTGAAGCAGTCATTATTGAGGGCATTTAAACCGACACATAAAACCCATCCGTCAGCTTCATGGAAAGGGTCGTAACTCAGCATGGCTCTAAAAGCTACACACCTGGAGATTCTTCTTCCGGTGGAAGACGATAGACTTTGCCTTCACTTTCCTGTCCTTGATGTCCACTTTGTTGCCACACAACACAATGGGGATGTTCTCACATACTCGCACCAGATCTCTATGCCAGTTAGGCACGTTCTTGTAAGTAACTCTTGATGTTACATCAAACATTATGATGGCGCATTGGGCTGAAAAATATACATATCAAACATTACGATGGCGCATTGGGCTGAAAAATATTTATAGCTATGTGAGGTTTATCACACCAAGAATGCATGTGGGTGTGCATTAGGCCCAAGTCATCCAAATCTAGCCACTCAAAGATCTGATGCTAAAAATGCTCAATTATTGTTGTTAATACAAAGCATTCACCACCATCACGCTTCTATTAACACAATATACTGATTCAAATGCACTTCGTATAAAAGCTTGAACAAGGGCTGGGAAGGTGGTAGAGCGCTTGCCTTGCATGCACGAGGCCCTGGATTCAATTCCTAAGCACCACATACACAGAAAAGGCCAGAAGTGGCACTGTGGCTCAAGTGGTAGAGCGCTAGCCTTGAGCTAAAGAGCTGAGGGACAGCGCCCAGGCCCAGAGTTTTGGTCCATGAACGACCAGAAAAAAAAAAAGAAAAAAAAAGCTTGAACAATCTATGCTGCCTATCTCAGTGCTTTTCCCAGTTCTCTAATACTGCCTCACCCCCAGGTAATCATCAGTTGGCTAGTTACCAATCATCAGGAAAGAGAACCTGCCTGTCTTCTTGTGAACGGGCGCCTATTCCTGAAGGGCCTAGGGGGCTGTACCGGGGTAGGCCACCTTGCTCCAGACTGCTGGGGATGGCCCACAAGAGCAAGCCGGAGAGCACGCAGCGCGTGGTGTTGGCCAAACGCCTCGGAGGAGGTTAGTGAGCCCGCGGTACAAACGGGAGGCCCCCAGCGGGCTTCTGGGACTCTCCCACCCGGCTTGACAATGGGAGTGCCGGCCACCGCGGGCAGCCTTCCTCCGCGTGAGACCGCACGGCCGAGGGCTGCGGCCAGCGTGCTCGCCGCCGCCCCAACGTGACACAGCACGTGCTCCGCGTGTCCCCGGGCCCGCGCGGCCGCCCGCCCCCCCCCCCCGCCCCGGTGCGGTGCCCGCCCCCCCCCGCCCCGTGCGGTGCCCGCCCCCCCCGCCCCGTGCGGTGCCCGCCCCCCCCGCCCCGGTGCCCGGCACCCCCCGCCCCGTGCGGTGCCCCCCAGGCCGCCCCGGCGCACCTTGGATGTAGTAGCCGTCCCTCAGGCCGCCGAACTTCTCCTGGCCGGCCGTGTCCCACACGTTGAACTTGATGGGGCCTCGGTTGGTGTGGAAGACCAGGGGGTGGACCTCGACGCCCAGCGTGGCTGCGGGGACAGCGGCCGTGAGCCCGCGCCCGGGGCCCGCGCCCCCGCCCGGCCGGCGCGCACCTACCTACATACTTCTTCTCGAACTCGCCCGTCAGGTGACGCTTCACGAACGTCGTCTTCCCGGTCCCGCCGTCGCCCACCAGGACGAGCTGCGGGGGGGGGGGCACGCGGCCGTGAGCCCGGGGGGGGGGGGCCGCGTCCGCCCGCCAGCCCCGCACGCACGCCCCGGCCCAGCCCGGCCCAGCAGCCCCGCACGCACGCCCCGGCCCGGCCCGGCCCAGCAGCCCCGCACGCATCCACCCGCCCGGCCCGGCCCAGCAGCCCCGCACACGTCCACCCGCCCGGCCCGGCCCGCCGGCGTCCGCACGCCAGCCCCGCACGCCCGCCCCGGCCCAGCAGCCCCGCACACATCCACCCGCCCGGCCCGGCCCGCCCGCGTCCGCACGCCCGCCCCGGCCCAGCAGCCCCGCACCGCCCGCATCCACCCGGCCCGCCGGCGTCCGCACGCCCGCCCTGCCGCCCGGCCCGCGCGCGCTCCCGCACCGCCCCGGCCCGCACCTTGAACTGGACCTGCGGCTCTCCCTGCGCGGCCATCGCGGCGATCCTGCGGGCGGACAGAGCGGGGCTGCGGCACGTGCGCCGTACAAAGGCCGCGGCGCCACGGCGGCGGCGGCGCGGGGCCGCGGCCCGGCGGGACCCGGCCGGGGGACGGCGCGGAGGAGGGCGGGGAGGACGGCGGGGGAGGGGAGGAGAGGGGAGGACGAGGACGACGAGGACCCGGGGCCCGCTCCCCGGCCGGCCCGCCCGCCGCCGCCCGCCCCTCCCCTCCCCGCGCCCGGCCCGGCTCCCGCCGCCCGCCGCCGCCCCGGGGTCCCTGCCGCCCGCCGCCGCCCGCGCCCGGCCCGCCCGGCCCCGCCGCTACCTTCCAGAAGCGTCTCCGCGCCCGTCCGACTGAGGCTGGAAAGATGGCGGAAGCGCGATTCAAATGCCGGAGACGCAGCCGACGCCGGCGCGCGGGAGGCGGAGCCTCGCGGGGCGGGGCAACGGCGCCGCGCCCAACCACGCGGCCGGCGCGCGCGCTCACGCGCGTACGTACGCAGTACGTACGCACGTACGCACCGCCCGAATCCAGCGGCCGCTTCAGCGGGCCAGCGCCGGGCGGGGCGGCGCGTCGGGTCACGTGCTGCTGAGCCGGCGCGGGGACGCGCACGCACCGACGGCGGTGAGACCTCGTGCGCCGGCTCTCAGGGCGGGCTCGAGGCGCGCATGCGCAGACGGCGAGCGGCGCGCCCTGCTCCCGCCGATCCCGCGCGCCGCGGTCTAGCTGACCGCGCCTGGGCGGGAAAGGCTGGAGCCGCCGTTCCCTCACCCGCGGCTACGTCCGTTCGGCGCCCACCCAGCACCTGCCCGGCCGCCGCCGGTCGCTGCTCGCGGTCGGGTCCCCAGACCCGCGGGACCTCCGGGGCGGGGCCGTCACGTGGTCGGCGCCGCGCGCCCGCAGAATGAATGGGCGAATGAATGAATGAGTCGTCCGGCGGAGCCCGGCCGCGGCCGCCGCGTCCCCCGCACCCTCCGCACGCCGCGCCGCCCCGCCCGAGGGGAAGGCCGGGGAGCGGCGGGCCCTCGGCGCCCCCGGGCCTGGGCCGGACCCCGCCGCCGGCCTTGGCGGCGTCTGCTGAGGACTCGAACCCAGGGCCCGTGCTCGCGGGGCGAGCGCCCCGCCGCGAGCGCCGGTGAGGCTGACGCACCGTCGGTCCGGCCGGCAGGCCCCGCGTGCGTGTGCCCGGGCGCACGCTCCCGACGGGTCACCCCTCCAGGGACCCCCCCCGCGTGTGCCCGGGCGCACGCTCCCGACGGGTCACCCCTCCAGGGACCCCCCCCGCGTGTGCCCGGGCGCACGCTCCCGACGGGTCACCCCTCCAGGGACCCCCCCCGCGTGTGCCCGGGCGCACGCTCCCGACGGGTCACCCCTCCAGGGACCCCGCCTGTGCCCCGGTGCACGCTCCCGACGAGTCACCCCCGGGCAGCGTGAAGCGCAGAGGGCTTGGCACCCCGCCGGCCCGAGGAAGCCCTCCACACCCGCTCGGTGTGTTGCGGAAGTGGGCGCCGGCATGTGGGCCGTTGGGAGAGGTCCGGACCCCAGCCCCACACCGCCGGCCGGCCTGGGACAGCGTGCTTCCGTTGGCCAGGTGGCTGTTCCCGGGGGTAAGGAACAACTTCCCAGCCACCTCCGTCCGCTGGCAGCCCTGCTTCCCTTCTTCACACTTATTTCTCAGCACAGAGCATTTTTAATACACTCATTGTAGAAAGCAAACTGACGGTCTCCAGCTTACCACCAAAAAGCCAGAAGTGGCCGGTGCTGGTGGCTCCTGCCGGTCCCTAGCTACCTGGGGGGCTGAGATCCGAGGATCACAGTTGGAGGCCAGCCCAGGCAGGAAAGTCCCCTGAGTCTTTATCTCCAATTAACCACTCAAAAACTGGAAGTGGTGCTGTGGCTTCCGCGGTAGAGCGCTAGCCTTGAGCACAAAGAGGCTCAGGGACAGCACCTAAGCTTTGAGTTCAAGCCCCACAACTGACCAAAAAAGAAAAAGGGCAGAAGTGGAGTTGTGGCTCAAGTGACAGAGTGCTAGCCTTGAGTAAAAAGCATCCGGAGGAGAATTCTAGATGGCATAGAGTAAAGCTGAGCGGGTGTCCGGCTCAGCGAGGAGCCATGCCAGCCACCCACAGTCCTCACATCTGTTTCCTGTTGTGATTTCAGAGGACGTGCCGTTGTGCCCAGCTCAATGTGGCTCCTGCTATGTGGGAACTAGATGTATGGCTCCTTTATGCAGCTCATGCCTACCACCAGCAGGGCTCTGTGCTCAGGGCAGGAGCTGTAAAGGTGCCCTCTCTACTCATTCCCCGCCCGCCCACAGTTCTGGGGCGGGGTATGTGTCATTATGGATGCCATAGGCCCTAGGCCCAACAATATACCCATAGTCTAGGAGCTAAATACCTAGTTGCCTTCAGTGACTCCACTTTTTGTTCCGTATCACTGGGGTTGCACTCAATTTTGTGCTTGGTTGGCACAAAGCTCTACCATTTAACTCACACCCTCAGCCCTGCACCTGTGCTTTGACCCTGCTACTGTGATCTGTGTTCCAAAGACAACTTGACCACGTATGTATTGGTGGAGACACGATGATAAACTATCAGTGTTCACAACCTCCTTCCTGAGGCAGGATAAGGACAGTGTTGGCTGTCAACTCAGCGCTGTCCCCCTGTGGCCCTTTTACCCTGCACGTTGGAAGCGTTGATGGGGGCGTGGAGAAACCAGGTTCGGGCCCTGGTGGCTGGAAGTACTGGTCAGGGGGGTGCAGGCCTGTGACCCCAGCATCGGGACACAGGTAGGAGGATTGTGAATTTGAGGCTAGAGTGAGCTACATAGTGTGCTCCTGTCACAAAACAAGGATTGGAATGGCTTCGAGGTGCGTTTAATTGATTTGAACGAGGCCCAGCTCAGGCTCCCAGAGAACATTTATGACCAAATGTATTTGGTCAAATGCACATGGTAGCAACAAGTTCTCATTAAGTGAGAACTTTAGAGGAATCTTCATAAGGCCCTAGAAGATTTCTGCACAGGGCAGTAGAGAGGGTCCATGTCTTCCTCATAGTCTGCTGAATTGCCCTTTTCCACACATCACTGTGTTCCCTTCCCTGCCAAGGCCTACCCTTTCCCACACCATCTCCGATCCAGGAGTTATTCTGTTACAGGCCAGCGTCACTTGGGTTATTTGGCCCAGGTCTGACCTGTTACAGCCCACCAATCCCCTGACCAGGGATTGGCTACTTGCTAGGCTTACCTAACAGAGTTGAAACCATTCATTTGGTGGAATCTGGGGGGCAAAGCCGTAGCTAGCTGGAAACCAGGCTTCTTTCCGCTTTCCTTGGGACTTAACAGAGAACGTGAGCCTCCTTATACCTCCTTATATATCTGTCTCCATCCCTAGCTCAGGCTCAGTAACTACAGGGAAACCAGTTCTTTCCTGTGTACATTTTACAGCAAGTTTTCATTCAGGGATGGGTTCATCAGTCAAACCCTAATTCGTTAGGGTTTTGAGCCTGGAGGGGTGTTCAGCTGTGTGCAGGTTGATGCGCTTGCACTGTTCTAGTCTTTCATCAGCTTTTAAAGTCCACGCTGATCCTGCAGCATGCAGTTTTACACATAGTTAATTTTATATTGTTGATTCTTTCCTCCAAGTCTGATTTTCCTAGGCAAGTTTTCTTGTTTCTATTACTAACACGCTATAACTTTCAATCTATTTTTTAAGTTTGTAGCAAGCTTAAGCATGTGGAGTTGAACTGTTTTTAAATTGTACCTTATTTCTAAGGATAATAGCCATAAGTTGATTAAGAACTAGTGATTTGTATCTACTGTTTGTAACTGAGAGGCCACAGTAATAGGTAAATCACAGCCTCTGAGCACAATAAGGTTGAAGTGGAAGAGTCAAGAGTCTTTCAGACTGAGGGCTTGATTCTCACCACTTCACAAATTGGGAAAGCTGAGGCCAGAGAAATGAATCTTCAACTGAAGTTATACAGAGTGTTACTAGCAGGACTGGGATTTGAAGACAATCTGAACATCCATTCTCTCCTATAAATACTTATTGAGTGCCTACAATGAACAAAGCAGACTAAAACCCGGGTCCCTTGGGCCTTACAATTTACAAGTAGCCTACTCACAGCCTGTAATCTGTAATGTTGTTTATTTTTATACCCACAGCAATGGATCAGAGCTTTTTTATTCTAGATAAAAACACTAAAAAAGAAATTTATTGGCTAATAAAAATCATGGGATGTGTTGGTTTCAGAAACTGCTTGACACAGAGGTTCAATGCATTTCAATCCCTCCATTTTACTTGTTTATATTTAACACCAATCTCAGGTAAGTTTGGTAGCTGCTGCTCCATTTTCGTAGCTTAGTCAAAATAGGAAATTTAACTCACATCCATCAAATTATATTTGGTTTAAATTACAAAAACTTAAAGTATGGCTGAGAAGGTAGCTCAGTGGTAGAGCGCTTGCCTTGCATGCATGAGGCCCTGGGTTCCATTCCTCAGCACCATATAAACAGAAAAGGCCCGAAGTGACGCTGTGGGCTCAAGTGGTAGAACACTAGCCTTGAGCTGAAGAGCTGAGGGATAGCACCCAGGCCCAGAGTTCAGGACCCACGACCAGCAAAAATAAATAAATAAGGTAATAAAGTAGAGAAAGGCAAGTATGCTTCTAATATACCCATGTTCAAGACATTACCTCTTGTCTCTTAGTATGTCTGGTCTCTGTTTTCCTGACTCCGTAACTTTCCTGTTATAAACTGATTTGTGTCCTCCCAAAGTCTTAGGTCGAAGTCTTAAGCCTCAGTTTTCAATGACTTTGGGGGGCTTAGTGCTCCAAATGTAGATGAGGACTTATGGAGGTTAAATGAAGCCATAACTCTTGAGGTCCTCATAAGAACTGGTGTCCTTAGAGGCACAGGAAGAGACACAGTCTCTCTGTGTCTGTCTGTCTCTGTCTTGTCTCTCTTGGTAAAGAGAAAGACCATGTGAAGACACATTAAGAAGCTGGCTAGCTACTATGTTCACTAGAAACCAAGTTTGCTGTACCTTGATCATGAACTTGTAGCCTTTCCTGAGAGTTCCCCCTACCTGCCTGTTCTTCCTCTCTCTCTCTCTCTCTCTCTCTCTCTCTTTGTGTCTCTCTCTCTCTCTCATCGTCTTTCCTGCCCGGGCTGGCTTCAAACCGAGATCCTCAGATTCCAGCCTTCAGAGAAGTGATAATTTAATTAAAATAAAATGAGCTATGCCATGCGGTGGTGGCTCACGCCTGTCATCCTAGCTACTCAGGAGGCTGACATCTGAGGATGGAGGTTCCAGCCCGGGCAGGAAACCGTGAGACTCTGATCTCCAATTATCCACTAGAAAACTGGGAGTGGCGCAGTGGCTCAAGTGGTAGAGTGCTCGCCTTGAGCTGAAGAGCTGAGGGGCAGCGCCCAGGCCCAGAGTTCAAGCCCCACGACCGACAAGAAAAAAAAAAGTGAAAGGTCAGAAAACAAAGGCAAAGGGCACGACCCCTACGCCTACCTGGTGGACCTGTCCGAGCGGCCCCGGCCCGGCCCCGCCCTTCGGCCCCGCCCCCGGAGCATGGCTCCGCCCCGGACCAAGGGCCCTCCGGACCACGCCCACTCCCTCGCCCCGCCCCGGCACCCCGGCTTCCCGCTGGAATGCACCAATGGGAGAGACGGGGAGGGCTGCGGCGCGCATGCGCCCAGGGCTCAGGCGCGGTTGCCTTGGCAGCGCCGGCCCGAGGGAGGGCGGCGGCGCCGGGCCGGGACCCCGGCTGGCTGAGGCGGCGGCGCGGCCACCGGAGAGCGTGCGGTCCAGCCGGAGGCGGCACCGGGCGGGCCTGAGCGTCGGGGCGTGCCGCCCGGCGGCCGGCGGGGATGCGGGACCGGCTGCCGGACCTGACGGCGGTGAGCGCCGCGCCGGGTAGCGGTCCGGGCCGGCGGGGCGGGGCGGGCGGCGCTGCGGGCCGGCGCGGCCCCAGGGCGGGGCCTCCGCGCCGTCTCCGGGCGTCCTGAAGGGGCCGGAGGGGAGCGGGCTCCGGACGGGGTCCCGGGCGGGGCGGGGCTGCGCGGTGGGGGGTCCCGGGCGGGGCGGGGCTGCGCGGTGGGGGGTCCCGGGCGGGGCTGCGCGGTGGGGGGGTCCCGGGCGGGGCTTCGGGGGGGGTCCCGGGGGGGGTCCCGGGCGGGGCGGGGCTGCGCGGTGGAGGGTCCCGGGCGGGGCTTCGGGGAGGGTCCCGGGGCGGGGCTTCGGGGGGGGGGTCCCGGGCGGGGCGGGGGCTGCGCGGTGGGGGGACCCGGGCGGGGCTTCGGGGAGGGTCCCGGGGCGGGGCTGCGCGGTGGGGGGACCCGGGCGGGGCTTCGGGGAGGGTCCCGGGGCGGGGCTGTACGGTGGGGGGTCCCGGGCCGGGCTTGGGGGGGGTCCCGGGGGGGTCCCGGGCGGGGCGGGGCTGCGCGGTGGAGGGTCCCGGGCGGGGCTTCGGGGGGGGGGGTCCCGGGGGGGTCCCGGGCGGGGCGGGGCTGCGCGGTGGAGGGTCCCGGGCGGGGCTTCGGGGAGGGTCCCGGGGCGGGGCTTCGGGGGGGGTCCCGGGCGGGGCGGGGCTTCGGGGAGGGTCCCGGGGCGGGGCTTCGGGGGGGTCCCGGGCGGGGCGGGGCTGCGCGGTGGGGGGACCCGGGCGGGGCTTCGGGGGGGGGTCCCGGGCGGGGCGGGGCTGCGCGGTGGGGGGACCCGGGCGGGGCTTCGGGGAGGGTCCCGGGGCGGGGCTGCGCGGTGGGGGGTCCCGGGCCGGGCTTGGGGGGGGTCCCGGGCGGGGCTGGGGCTGCACGATGGAGGGTCTCGGGCGGGGCTTCGGGAGGGGGGGGGTCCCGGGCGGGGCGGGGCTGCTCGGTGGAGGGTCCCGGGCGGGGCTGCTCGGTGGAGGGTCCCGGGCGGGGCTGCGCGATGGGGGGGGTCCCGGGCGGGGCTTCGGGAGGGGGGGGTCCCGGGCGGGGCTTGGGGGGGTCCCGGGCGGGGCGGGGGCTGCGCGGTGGGGGGTCCCGGGGCGGGGTTGGGGGTGGGGGTGTCCCGGGGCGGGAGGGGGGGGTGTCCCGAGGCGGAGCTGCCGGGGCGGGCGGGGGGGGGGGGTGTTCCGGGGTGGGGGGCTGCGAGGTGGGGGGGCTGAGGCTTCGGGGCGGGTGGGGGGGGAGGGTCCCGGGCGGGGCTGCGAGGTGGGGGGTTACCGGGCGGGGCTGGGGGGGTCGGCTGGGGCTGGGGGGCGGGGGGTGTCCCGGGGTGGGGGGTCTCCGGCCGAGGCCCACCTTGTGTCCTGTGCCCGCCCTGGCGCCAGCTGTCGTGGCCCCATCTCGCTGCAGGTGGACTCAGGCGCTGCAGGTCAACAGGTGGACACCAGGCGGTCGGGAGTGTCCGGGAGTGGCCTGGACCTCCTGTCCAGAAACACCGTCCACCCCGCCCCGGGACCGCTGCTGCCGAGCAGACATGGGGCTGGGGGCTGGGTGCTGGGGAGCTGGGTGTTGGGGGCTGGGGAGCTGGGTGCTGGGGAGCTGGGTGCTGGGTGTTGGGTGCTGGGTGTTGGGGGCTGGGGAGCTGGGTGCTGGGTGTTGGGGAGCTGGGTGTTGGGGGCTAGGGAGCTGGGGGCTGGGGAGCTGGGGGCTGGGTGTTGGGGAGCTGGGTGTTGGGGGCTGGGGAGCTGGGGGCTGGGGAGCTGGGGTTGGGTGGGTCAGTCTTCAGTGGCATCCTGAGTGTTCACCTAGTAAAAAACCCTGGGCAGGCACTCAGCACTCATCCGTGGTACCGACCCCAGCACTGACAAATGTATTTCAAAACGTATTTCCATTGGTGACTGACACCTAGTCACTGAGCTTACTTTGGGGTGCTGTGTGACTTTATATGCGTTCACTATGTAGTCATCAGAGATGTCCTCACTCTGGAGGTTCGCCCTTTGTTTGTGTTGGGAACACTCAGCATCCTGTGTCATGGGTGTTTAGCACTGTCACTGATACCTCTCCATGCTCTAAGACAGAGGTTCCTCTCCTGTCAGACTGAGCCCTCAGCCCCTTCATCCGTCCTCATCACTCTTTTGTCTACTCCCCTGTGCTTGTGGGCACCTGCCATTTCTCTCTGTGCCTGATGTAGTGACCCATTCTACCCACATTGCTGCAGGAGACAGCATTTCATTCTTTCTAAGGCTGAGTAATGGTAAAAGTGGATCCAGTTTTGCTCAGTTTTACGTAAATGAGGCAGAGATGGTGACATTGTGGATGTTTGCAGAATGTGTAAGGGTGCAGGAGTCATGACCCTTTTGCCCTTAAAAATACAAGTCCTAGCCAGGCTTGGTGATACATGACTGCAATCCCAGCACTTGGGAGGTAGAGACAGGAGGATCACGTGTTGAAGGCTATCTGGGCTAGTTACTAACTTGTGCTGGGTGTTTATGGTTTTGTTTTTCTAGCACATAGCTTAGCCTCTGACCTACTGCTCCAAGGTGTCGTGCATGTGATGAATTCTCTTCCTTCCTTGGCTCTGTACTTGGCCTTGGCACTGTGATTAGGGGTCAGAAAAAGCTATGAAATGTTATGAATTGTCCCTGTTCTGTGTGTATGGCAAGGCCCCCTGGTTGAGGAAGACAGTGCAGTCTCAGAATTGTGAGAATTATACTTTATATTTCCCCTACTTCAGCTTTCTCTCCCTCAAGTAATAGAAGAAATGCTGCATGTCCCAGAACACAAAACAGCTTTTTTTTTTTTTTTTTTTGGGTCTGGTCGTGGGGCCTGAACTCTGGGCCTGGGCGCTGTCCCTCAACTCTCCAGCTCAAGGCTAGTGCTCTACCACTTGAGCCACAGCACCACTGCCACAGCACCACTTCCTGCTTTTTTCTTTTTTGCTTATATAGTGCTGAGGAATTGAACCCAGGGCCTCATGCATACAAGGCAAGCACTCTACCACTGAGCCACCTTCCCAGCCCCACAAAACAGCTTCATATTAAGAAGGATGCCAGCAGGTAATACCATCTTTTCTTTTGCCATTGGCAGAGAATGAAGGAGTTATCTGTTATTTCCTATCTCAACCCTCAACTAATAAGAACATGAACGTTGGTTTCATGATAGAACTTTGGTTCTAGGAGTGACTTACCTAGTTCCCTGTCCTCTGTTTTTTTTTTTTTGGTCCGGTCGTGGGGCCTGAACTCTGGGCCTGGGCTAAGCTCTTCAGCTCAAGGCTAGCGCTCTACCACTTGAGCCACAGCGCCACTTCCGGCTTTTTTCTTTCTGCTTATGTGGTGCTGAGGAATCAAACCCAGGGCCTCAAGCATGCAAGGTAAGCGCTCTACCACTGAGCCACTTTCCCAGCCCCCCTGTCCTCTGTTTTAAATGAACAGACTGACCAATCAAAAGGGTTTCTGGAAATTTCTACCAGGGAATTGTCTAATCTTGGGCAAATAATTTGTAAACCTTTCACTACTCTGACTTTCTGGGATGTAAAATGGAATGTTAACGTCTCTCTTGCCACCTCACAGAGGGAGTTGTGAAAGTCATCTAACAGGCAACACTCTAGGAGAAGGTGGGGGAAGCTAGTGCTATGCAGGGGCTCTGAGTTTCGCTACTTTGTGTTCTCTGAGCCAGGCCTGCCCTTCTTCCTGGTATTCAGTAGTCAACAGCTTTCAGTATTAAAAGCTACCACATGTAAGTTTATTTTTAACTTAAGACATTTTTTTTTTCTTCAGAAATGTGTCCTGAGGACTGGGAAGGTGGCTCAGTGGTAGAGGGTTTGCCTTGCATGCATGAGGCCCTGGGTTCGATTCCTCAGCACCACATAAGCAAAAAGAAAAAAAGCCGGAAGTGGCCCTGTGGCTCAAGTGGTAGAGCGCTAGCCTTGAGCTGAAGAGCTGAGGGACAGCGCCCAGGCCCAGAGTTCAGGCCCCATGACCGGACCCATAAATAAATAAGTAAATACACAGAAATGTGTCCTGAGTAGCTTTTGGTAGTTGAATATTTGTTCATAGCTATGTTTCTATACATATCTTTTTCTGCATATTTTTGTAGATGAAGTTTAATTTGAACCATTAAAATGGCTCTCTGTGTTACACACACTAACAACCAATGTTCGATTCCTCTAGGAAGTTTTATTAGCAGTGCTTTTTCCTGAAGAAAAAAAGAAGACACCACAGATAACTACTTGGAAAGGTCTTAAAATTAGTTTGCCTAAATGGGTGTCTGAGGCCAGCTTGGCTACATAGCAAGCCCCTGTCTAAACCAATTAATTTAACCAGTGCATGTCCACAAATTATGTATCGACAGATTAACTGCTCCTAAGCTACAGTTCTCGGTCCAAGCAGCTGCTCTCTGACCACATGGGCTTAAGTAGTTTGCCTAAGAGCCAGATGAGTGTAGAGCCATATTGATTCTGATTTGCAAGAGGTGAGAGTAAATCCATCCAACAAATAGCTTCAGTGCCACATCTCTGCCAGGTAATGTGCCGGTTGCAGAGAGATAAGACATAGTGGGTCAGAGCTCTCCCTTCTCAATGTGACCCCTCTTAACGGGGACCCCTGCTGGCCCCTGATTTGGCTCACATGTGGAGGTCCTGTGGGCAAGGACTTCAGCACCTGCTTTGGGGATATAGCTAGTCATCCCTGGCCTGTTACCACTCAGCACAGTAGGTTGTGTTCAGTAGCATCTTTCTCGGGGGAGAGCAGTGGTGATCCAGGGTGGTGGCTTTGCCTGGAAAGCCACCCCGTCGGCAAGACCGCCCTCACCGAGTGAACAGAAGGTGCAGTGGTCCTGAGGCCGGCCAGCTGCCCTCTGCCCTGGGGTGCACAGTCTCCCCCTTCCTAAGCGGGCCTGGCTGTGCTGTGTGTGGAGATCCACGCCCTCCCTTCCCTCACTATCTGAGCGCAGCACATGCCCTTCCCTGCCCTTAACTCGCCCAGAAGTCTGGGCGCAGGGGCACGCCGAAGTACATCCTCAGGGCAGGAAGGAGTTATTGTTGATATCTCGGCCAATTGGTTTTCTTAGTGACAGTCTAGATGTTGCAGAGGAAGGGAAGGTCTGCTGCTGTTGCTTGACACATTTGTGGAATTTCGCAGATTTTTCCTCGCTAAATGTTAGAATTTTGTTTCTAAATATTCCTGGGTGGCAGATCAGTGGCCCTGAGAGCTCCCGAGCTTCTTTGCCCATCAGCTCCTTTGAGGTTGGAACTGTGCTTACAGGCTGGCCCTGGGGAGAAGGCTGAGCTGTGTGTGTGTGTATGTGGGTGTGCCGCATAGCCAGTCTTCAGTAAGAATTGTGTGATTTAGATGCCAGTGTCCTGGTGTATTTCATTGTCTCCTCTCTCCGGCAGCTCTAGGCAGAGCCTCTGGCTCAGGTAGATATTCTTTTCAGTGTTGGGAGCTCTTGATTGTCTAGAAGGTGTTTTCTAGGTGGGTCCTCCAGCTGCTGCTCCAGCCTCCTGTGCCACCTGTGCAGCCAAGCAAGTGCATGCTCTTGGCTCCCAGGTGTGTGGAGTCAGCTGGTGGAGGGACCTGCATAGGGCCTCGTGCAGCCCGCCCCAGGCTCTGATGGGGTGTGGGTGCAGCCAGGTTTAGGCAGCTCTTGGCTCTGTTCTCTTTGGTAGTGCCTTTAGTAGTGATGGTTTGTTTTTCCACAGGCTTTTTAAGTTCTTCTGTAATTCAGTCTTAAAGTTTCCTTCCATAGGGGCTGGGAAGGTGGCTCAGTGGTAGAGCGCATGCCTTGCATGTCAGAGGCCCTGGGTTTGATTCCTCAGCACCACATAAGCAAAAAGAAAAAAGCCGGAAGTGGCGCTGTGGCTCAAGTGGTAGAGCGCTAGACTTGAGCTGAAGAGCTTAGGGACAGCGCCCAGGCCCAGAGTTCAGGCCCCATGGCCGGACCCAAAAAAACAAAGTTTCCTTCCATATTAAAGTTTTCACTAAACATAAACATGACGGGGAGAGGGGGTGCCTGCCCATTTAGGAAAAGTTGGAAGTTCTGGGAAAGTTCTCATGTACTCTAGGAAAGTCAGCTAGCGGTATCAGCATTTTAGTCTTTATAGGAAGTATAAATATGCAATGCAGGCAGTTTCAGAGCTGGAAGACAAAAGTTTGAACTTTAGTGACTTTCATGGTGAAAGTGCATGATTCTGAATTGTTCAGTTCTGAAAAAACCCTCCTTCCTTTTCCCAGAGCTCCACCTTCCCCTCAAGGCTTTTCCTGCAGCGCCCCTCCCCCGCCCTGCCTTACATTGTAGTTCTAGCAAGTGAAGATCTTGGGGGTCCTAAATTGCTTCAGGCTTCTTACTTTCCTACATAAGAATTTTAAAAATCTGAATTTTCACTTTATATTTCTATTCTAGTGTAGGAAAAATGATGATGGAGACACAGTTCTTGTTGTGGAAAAGGACCATTTTATGGACGATTTCTTCCATCAGGTGAGGTGAACACTTACACTTTCTTTCTTGAGCTTTGCTGTAGTCATGAAACCATGTTTCTGCCCGTGAGAAGGTGCAGCAATGGACACAGTCCCGGCCTTCAGTGCTGAGGCTCCTGCGGTCCTGTGAGTTGCTGGGGTGCTCTGAGCACACTTTGGGGAGCCCCTGAAGCCAATGGCCTCACATCTGAACTTGTCCTGCTGTGTGTGACTGTAGTTTTTGTTTGTTTTGAGAAAGGGTCTTGTTTGCTATGTAGCCCAGGCTGCCCTCAAACCTTTGATCCTCCTGTCTTTACCTCCCGAGTGCTGGATGACTGGTTTAAAAAGTTGCTTGGAAGATGTAAGTTTTCTGGGGCTTTCCGTATTGAAATGTTATTAAGACAGAGGCTTTTGTATATGTCTTCCGCAGCCTCACGCCGTTCCCCGCAAAGTGCTCTCTTGGGCCACAAGGTGTGCACAGCTTTTGAAAACCTTTCATTGAATGCCTGTGTGTTTGCCGACTTCTGGGATGTGTCACGGTGATGTGGCGGAGCACGTTCACGTTTGTGTGTGCTGAGGAGGCTCTGCCCGAGTCCCAGCCAGCGGGCCCTGGCAGCCACGCTGTGACCCTGCAGGTCTAGGCTGCGCTCCACCATCCTTTCCCTGGCCTCCTTTGCTGTACTCCCAGAGGCCGACACTGTGTTGACATATTGTGCTCAAAAAAAAATTTTTTTGGGGGGTCTGATCATGGGGCCTGAACTCTGGGCCTGGCCGCTGTCCCTCAGCTCTTCAGCTCAAGGCTAGCGCTCTACCACTTGAGCCACAGCACCAGTTCCGGCTTTTTTCTTTTTGTTATGTGGTGCTGAGGAATTGAACCCAGGGCCTCATGCATGCAAGGCAAGCTCTCTACCACTGAGCCAACTTCCCAGCCCCATGCTCAAATTTTTTGAAATTGATTCAGAACAAATGCTTTGACTTGGTTAAGCATGAAGAAAGGAAATGTGTTGGGTTTCTTTTTCATGATGAAACTTGATGTGTTGCTGGGCATGGTGGCACATGCCTGTAATTCCAGGTGCTCAGGAGGCTGAGGCAGAAGTATCTCACAGGCCAGCTCGGATAACTTAATGAAACGAGACCCTGTCTCCTGATAAAGCTGGGAATGATGCTCAGTGACAGAACACTGCCTCATATACAGGAGGCCCTGGGTTTCACCCTTAGCAAACAAAAAATAAAAATAACACAAAAAACCACCTTGTATGTAGAACTTGTATTGGTTATGCTGACTTTAGTGAATGCTTTCATTTAACTCCCAAACCACTCAATGCTCTGCGTATAACCATCTTACCAGAGCGTGGATCTGAAAATATTTTCAGTTTTCATTTGTTGGTTAGTTTGCCACTTATTTCTGTGAAATGACTTCTTAGGCAAATAGAAACAAATGGTACTCACTTTTAGAAGGGAATTTCAGGTGGTCTCAGTATCATGGATGTCATACTGCACAAGGTTGGGTTTTGCTAGTGACCCATGTTTGGCTAAAGACAAAAATAGTGCTCTTCAGGGCCTAGGAACCTCCCTATGAGATGAGGTAACAGCCAGGAAATGTCCCTGTGCAGCTCCACTGAGGGCTAGAGGAGTAGGGAGGAGAGGAGAGCTGAGGAGAGAGAGGCTCTCCCTTCTCTTTGGGAGCCTCCATGGGCTTCTGCTCAGTGATAGATTCTGGTGGAAGGCATCCCAGACCATACCCCCTGCTATCTGGCTGGGGTGCCATGGAATTTCCTGTAGGAATGCAAACAGCCACAATGTCAACTGTGTACTGACCTCAAGTCCTGTGACTTATTTCCTAATGACATAGCAAAAGTTGTAAAACAATCAATTTGCATTGTACGATTCTTACATGAGTAATGGAGTTAGTGTACAGAATAGCGAATATACTGTGTGTAAATGGAAATGACACACAGACCAGATGGAGTAGCCATCCCTGTTCTATAAAAGCAGAATTCAGTGTTGGACTGTACTTTAACATGTTTGGGGTGTCTCTGAGGCCTTTCCGTGAGGTTCATGTGGTCAGAACTACCCTCTTTATCCTCCTCTCCCCTACTCTCCTCAGCTCGTCCTCCTAAGATGTTGCGCGCCTTTTTTCTTTTGTCACCGTGAAGACCAGCAATAGAGGTTTCCAGAGGCAACACACCAGTCACCCAAGGGCATGTGAGAGTCACTCTGCCTTCCATTAGGCAAGAACCTAGATCTATAAGAAATGTAAATCATGGCTCCTAGTGCCTCTAATTTTTGGGAAAAATACTCTTTTCCATAAAGATGTTTGTTAACATGTAATAGTTTCTGTTGGTTGCCATGACAAGTTTTTGCAACCATGGGGACTTAAAACAGTGCCCGTCCATTACTGGAAAGCAAGAGTAGATGTGAGTGCAGGCCAGAATCAAGGCAGGACAGGGCAGGGCAGGGCAGGGCAGGGCAGGGCAGCACCCCTTGAGCAGCTGCAGAGGAGGGCGCCCCCCCAGCTCTGGTGGCTGCCTGTGCTCTGGACTCCAGCCTCTGGTTTCATCTTTCTCACATCAGCCCTCTCATACCTGGTTTACAAGGACTCCTGTGGTTGCCTCAGGCCCACCAGGATAATCCAGGATAATTTTTCATCCCCAGCCAGAATCACATCTGCTCTCTTTTGCCACCATAGGTAACATTCCCAGTGCTGGGGCTGGGATGTGGACCTCGACCACAGCAGGTTGTAATGGCTACTTGAAATGAGCGAAGGAGAAGCAGTCCTCAGTGGCCACTTTTCCTTCTGTAGCGAGATCTCCTCCACTCCTCTCGAAGACCCTTCTGATTGTACCCAGGCCAGCAGAGCTCATCTTAAATTCTTAGTGGATGGGCTGGGAAGGTGGCTCAGTGGTAGAGCGCTTGCCTTGCATGCTCAAGGCCCTGGGTTCGATTCCTCAGCACCACATAAGCAAAAAGAAAAAAGCCGGAAGTGGCGCTGTGGCTCAAGTGGTAGAGCGCTAGCCTTGAGCTGAAGAGCTGAGGGACAGCGCCCAGGCCCAGAGTTCAGGCCCATGACCGGAAATAAAAAAAAAAATTCTTAGTGGAGTCATGTGCAATGTCCTCACAGAAAGCAACGCTAATGGGAACCCAGTCTCCACTGAGATTGTTGAGAGTGTCTAGAATTTACCTGGAGAAACGGTGCAGCTCTATTGTGTTTTGAAATGTTGACTAGAGGTTTACAGCAGTGGTTTGGACAGCCCAGCCATGTGGGCGGTAAGCGCCCTGTGAGAACACTGCTGCAGCGCCTTCCCAGACACGCTGTCACCTCAGCGCCTTCCCAGACACGCTGTCACCTCAGCGCCTTCCCAGACACGCTGTCACCTCAGCACCTTCCCAGACACGCTGTCACCTCAGCGCCTTCCCAGACACGCTGTCACCTCAGCGCCTTCCCAGACACGCTGTCACCTCAGCGCCTTCCCAGACACGCTGTCACCTCAGCACCTTCCCAGACACGCTGTCACCTCAGCACCTTCCCAGACACGCTGTCACCTCAGCGCCTTCCCCCCAGACACGCTGTCACCTCAGCGCCTTCCCAGACACGCTGTCACCTCAGCACCTTCCCAGACACGCTGTCACCTCAGCGCCTTCCCCCCCAGACACGCTGTCACCTCAGCGCCTTCCCCCCCAGACACGCTGTCACCTCAGCGCCTTCCCAGACACGCTGTCACCTCAGCGCCTTCCCCCCAGACACGCTGTCACCTCAGCGCCTTCCCCCCCAGACACGCTGTCACCTCAGCACCTTCCCCCCAGACACGCTGTCACCTCAGCGCCTTCCCAGACACGCTGTCACCTCAGCGCCTTCCCAGACACGCTGTCACCTCAGCACCTTCCCCCCCAGACACGCTGTCACCTCAGCGCCTTCCCCCCAGACACGCTGTCACCTCAGCGCCTTCCCAGACACGCTGTCACCTCAGCACCTTCCCAGACACGCTGTCACCTCAGCGCCTTCCCCCCAGACACGCTGTCACCTCAGCACCTTCCCCCCAGACACGCTGTCACCTCAGCACCTTCCCAGACACGCTGTCACCTCAGCACCTTCCCAGACACGCTGTCACCTCAGCACCTTCCCAGACACGCTGTCACCTCAGCACCTTCCCCCCCAGACACGCTGTCACCTCAGCACCTTCCCAGACACGCTGTCACCTCAGCACCTTCCCCCCCAGACACGCTGTCACCTCAGCGCCTTCCCCCCCAGACACGCTGTCACCTCAGCGCCTTCCCCCCCAGACACGCTGTCACCTCAGCACCTTCCCAGACACGCTGTCACCTCAGCGCCTTCCCCCCCAGACACGCTGTCACCTCAGCGCCTTCCCAGACACGCTGTCACCTCAGCACCTTCCCAGACACGCTGTCACCTCAGCGCCTTCCCAGACACGCTGTCACCTCAGCGCCTTCCCCCCCAGACACGCTGTCACCTCAGCGCCTTCCCAGACACGCTGTCACCTCAGCGCCTTCCCAGACACGCTGTCACCTCAGCGCCTTCCCAGACACGCTGTCACCTCAGCGCCTTCCCCCCAGACACGCTGTCACCTCAGCACCTTCCCAGACACGCTGTCACCTCAGCGCCTTCCCCCCCAGACACGCTGTCACCTCAGCACCTTCCCAGACACGCAGTCACCTCAGCGCCTTCCCAGACACGCTGTCACCTCAGCGCCTTCCCCCCCAGACACGCTGTCACCTCAGCACCTTCCCAGACACGCTGTCACCTCAGCGCCTTCCCAGACACGATGTCACCTCAGCACCTTCCCCCCCCGCCAGACATGCTGTCACCTCAACAGGCTTCTTGCTGCCATGGCCAGCCTGATGTTCACGCGTTGACTGTAGGGATTTTTACAACCTTGCTTGTGAATGTTGACTGTTGCTTAAAAATAGGAATACTGATAGGGTACATTTCTCTCTTTTTTGTTTTGGTTGGTTGTGGGGCTTGAACTCTGGGCCTGGCACTGTCCTTGAGCTCTTCAGCTCAAAGTGATCACTCTATCACTTGAGCCACAGCGTCATTTCTGGTTTTCTGATAATTAATTGGAGATAAGAGTCTCACGGACTTTCCTGCCTCAGCTGGCTTTGAACCCTGATCCTCGGAACTCAGCCTCCTGAGTAGCTGGGATGACAGGCGTGAGCCACGGGCGCCCGGCTACATTCCTCTTTTACGATGATGTCAGTGTGAGAATGGGAAAGGCGCATTTCTTTATGAGGTGGTTATGTTTCCCTCTATTCTTCCTGTTTTCTTTTTTTTTTTTAAGATAATATAAAGCAATAACACATTTGAACTTCTGACTCTCTTACCTCTCCTAGGTGGAAGAAATTAGACACAGCATCGCCAAAATAGCTCAATATGTGGAAGAGGTAAAGAAGAACCACAGCATCATTCTTTCTGCCCCAAACCCGGAAGGAAGTATGTTGTCTGTCTATCCATCTGTCCATCTGTCTGTCCGTGTTTCTCTCTGCCTGCAGCACAGGTCATAACTCTAGTTTTATCCTAGATGGGCTGTCCAGTTTGCCTAGATGTTGTGCCTGGGGCAGCCCCTCGACCTTCCCAGCCTCCCATGGAGTGTTTTGTGGCTCCATGCACCATCTCAGTGTTCAGGCAGGGTGAGGACCACGAGGCACATGATTCTCGGGGCACATAGGGCTGACTTTGCAGAACTTTGGGAGATAACTGGTTAGCCAGAGCCATATCGTGTCTACAGTGTCTAAGCAAATGTCAGATTTGGATAGAGACTAGTACGAGATAAGCACTTGTTAGAGCTGGAGACAGACTGTGAGGTGGTCCTACCTTGCCAGGGAAAGTGTGTCGGTGCGCCGTGCGCAATGCCCGCTGTGGATAGCATGCAAGCAGATGCATTTGAAGGAAGCACGTGTGCAGTTGGGAGTGCGAGGCAGTTTGCTCAGTCTGGAAGGATGGACCTGGAGATCAGTGCAGGTTAGATGGGGTCTGCACCGCCAGGGTTACAAACACCTCAGTTGGGGACAACTGTTATCTTCATGTTGAGTCTTTTACTCCACGTATGTATGCGAATACATAACGTAACTGGGTATGATTAAGATATGTGTACATACAATATACTGGTACCCATGACATTGGTGGTTGAGAATTTTTTGTTATTATGAAGGTGATGTACAGAGGGGTGACAGTTACATGTCAGGTAAAGAGCACATTTCTTTTTGGACAGTGTCCACCCTTTTCTTGCTTTCTCCCAGTTTCCCCTCCCCATAAGCTGTAAAGTTCATTTTCAGTGTCGTGTCTGGTGAGTACCATTGTTGCCTTTGTCCACCCTCGGTCCCTCCCTTTCTGTGCCACCCTTATGCTCCCAAAGACATATAATGAACAGACAAAACAAAAAGGCAAGAAAAACAGCAAAAAATTAAAAAACCCTTGTTTTAGTACTGTTAATTTTACTCTGTGTCTGTGCGGGGTCTACAGCGGTGCGTTGGGGAGGGGGCCCTCTTCAGAGAGTGATGGGAACTGTACTTTGTTCCTCTAGGCTGGCGCTAGAGATAATGGTACTAGGATGCAGTGTTGGTTTTGGATCTAGTCAACTAGTTCATCAACTAGTTATAGTGAACCAGCAGTTCCCAAACTTGTGTGGCTCCCAGAATCACCAGAGGACAAGTGTTCAGTAGGGCAGGCCGCGGCTGCAGAGAGCTGCTGCCGCTCCCGTGCCCCACCTGCTGGTGAGGTGGGCCGGGGCTGCAGAGAGCTGCTGCCGCTCCCGTGCCCCACCTGCTGGTGAGGTGGGCCGGGGCTGCAGAGAGCAGCCGCCGCTCCCGTGCCCCACCTGCTACGCAGTTGGCTGCCCTGGGCCACACCTGGAGACCCGCTGGGAGACGCAGATTTCCTATGGAAAAAGACTAGGGTATTTGTGCTGTTTTCTTTAAATTTAGTAGACTACTTATATTGACAGTTATGGCTCAGATGCCTTATTTTTATCTTTTAAAGAAATAAAAGAAGAGCTTGAGGACCTGAACAAAGAAATCAAGAAAACTGCTAACAAAATACGGGCCAAGTTAAAGGGTATGACTTGTTTATTGATGGTAGGGATTTGGGAATTATTTTCTTCTTTATAGTTGCTATTCTCTAGCCTTTCCACATTTACTTCCTACAAATTCTCCATGTGTACTTGGGAGTGCTGATTCACATCCAGCAAGTGGGCTATCTACTGCCCTTTGACCCTGGGGACAGTGCTTCAGTGGTTGAGCAGGTGGAGTTGCTGTGCCCGCTGTCCTGCAGTCCCAGCCGGGAGGGTTTCATGCCGCTGCCAGGCGCCATGTGGAGCGCAGAGCGCGCTGCTCTGGCCTGTGCGCTCACACTCCACCTGACCCAGCTGAGACCCCAGAACATGCAGGCCCATCAGTGTGCTCCTCAAAGGACCATCCTCCCCAAACCCAACTACATTCACATCTCATCAGTTAATTACAATGATTTCTTTCTAGTACTGCAAAATATCTGGGGTTAGGAAGTGGCGCTGTAGCTCTAGTGGTAGAGCGCTCGCCTTGAGCAGAAGAGCTGAGGGACAGCGCCCAGGCCCAGAGTTCAAGACCCACGACTGACAAAAAAAAAAAAAAAATCTGGGGTTTATGTTTTCCCAGTGAGCTTACAATTCTGGGGGGTCTTGGGCCCCAGTTTAACCCCAAACCCTGCAGTTGGTGGCTGTGTGTCTAGACTTTTTGGGTCAGATCCTCAATATCTCTTCCTCTAGCCCTTTTTTCCTTTGGTTGAACACCCAGTTCTTTCATCCTGTAGAATCAGCATTGCTGATCAGACCCTGTGGGTTTTAAGCAGGCCTGCTGTCCTCTGTGTTTAATATTTTGCTTGAAAGATCCAGATTTTTTTTTTCCTGCTCATTGGATTTGAGCTCAGTGTCCTCTTACTCAGTTTTCTTCCATCATGGCTGGTACTCGATCACTTGAGCTGTGCCTCCTCTTCAGCTTCTTGCTGGTTAATTGGACAGGACAATCTTTCAGATTTGTCTGCCTAGGCTGGTTTCTAACTTTGATCATCAGATCTCAGCCTCTTAGCTAGGACTGAAGTCATGAGCCATCAGCACCCAGCTCCACCTGGTTTTGTGGATTAAGATAAGAAGCTGGTCTCAGGTGCTATGATGTCATAAGGTTGCATAATATGTAGCCAAGTGCTTTTTTGTGACACCATCAACAACTGATGACTGTTGCCACGATCCAAACCCTCCCTCTTCACCTTGTTGCCCCAGGTGTCTTGGCCTGGAGAGATAGGGTTCTGTTCTTGTACAGTTTCGTGGTTGGTTCCCGAGCACTCCAGAGGTGACCAGCGCCAGTGTTGCTGTTTCTTGTTTGCTACCTTGAACACCTGATAGGGACTAGCTGCTTCTCTGAGGACGCTTTCCATAGATAGTGACGTTCAGAACCAAGACATCCACATGTTGCTATCCATGGCAATGGTGTGGTGACAGAGCAAGGCCTTTGGCACTTTTTTCTTTAGGGTAAAATGAATCATAATGTCTTTTTTTTTTTCATTGTTTCATGTAATTTTATTTTATTTTTTTTAATTTTAATTTTTTTTTATTGTGAAAATACTGTACAGAGTGGTTACAATTACATGGCAAGATAATAAGTACATTTCTTTTTCTTTTTTTTTTTGGGGGGGGGGTCCGGTCGTGGGGCCTGAACTCTGGGCCTGGGCGCTGTCCCTCAGCTCTTCAGCTCAAGGCTAGCACTCTACCACTTGAGCCATAGTGCCACTTCCGGCTTTTTTCTTTTTGCTTATGTGGTGCTGAGGAATCGAACCCAGGGCCTCATGCATGCAAGGCAAGCCCTCTACCACTGAGCCACCTTCCCAGCCCTAATGAGTACATTTCTTATCAAGCATTGTAGCCTCCTCCTTTGTTTCCCCTTCCCATCTCTTCCCATCCTCCCACCTAATCCTCCCCCCCCCATAATGTCTTCTTGATACTTCAAACTAAGAACTAAGAAAGGATTTGATTTACTTAGTCTAAGAAACAATTCATTTTTTTTTAATGTCTTGGGGGGTATTTGAATTCAGGGCCTCATGCTTTGGGAGATATTACATCCTAAACCCCTTTCTTCCAGCTGTGTTCTCAATCTTGGTTCTTCCTGATGCACTGCTTGTGGACACTCTGGCGCTCCAAGCGGCCTATCAGTACTGGCATGAGAGCACAACTTCCTAAAGCAGCTTACCTTTGTCCCTCAGTGTAACCCAGCTGTACCTTCAAACTTTGGGTCTCAAAGTCAGTTTGACTAGTTCTTATTTGTATAGTTATACCATTAACTCACTTAATCTGTAGGAAGTTTCTTCCTTTTTTTTAATTTTAGAGATTGCTCTTTTCAGTGTCTGATTTTGTATTGTAGTTCTGTGAGACATTTCTGTTACTCTAAAACAGAACATACTCAAAAGCTTTGGCTTCTTCCTGTGTCTATCCCCATCTTACAGTATCGTCAGCCCCTCACAGTCGCCTTCCATCTGCAAAGTTAGTGGATTATTTTTCCATTTTCCCTAAGAGTAAATAAATATATGTGTGATTCGTTAAGATCAGCAGAAGAACCCTCGTGATGGATGGGCTTTCAAGAGGATTACTTATTGACTTGAGGTGTGGCTCTGTAAACTTCGGTTTTTAGATTTGAAAGGTAACTCTGTCCTGTTTTTTCTAGCTATTGAACAAAGTTTTGATCAGGATGAGAATGGGAACCGCACTTCAGTGGATCTTCGGATACGAAGGACCCAGGTTTGATTGGCAGTTTCTTTCAGACTGGAGTATTGGGGAAGAATAAATCTTTTTACTTATTCCAAGTTTAGAATGATTGCATTTTTTACTGTCATATCTGTCTACACGATGTTCCTTCATGAAAGGACATTGTATTTGTAGATTGCCTCTCTTTCCATGAAGAAAATATCTATTCATGCCCTCCATAGAGTTCTATTCTGAGGAGCAGAGTAACAGCTGTATTAATAAGGATGGGATGGGGACCCTGGGACAGGGACCCCAGATTGCCCCCTTATGCTGGTGTGGCCCAGACCTCCTTGTGCTTTGTGCTATGGTAAAGGCAAATGCAGAACACTTAGCTCTGTGTGGCCATGGTGACTCATTGTGCAGCCCGGGAAGGCTGCTGGATCCCCATCCCAGGTCCCTGTCTCATCCTTGCTAATAGAGCTGTTCCCGGAGTCTGGCCCACTGTCAGTCATGGGTACAGATGGCCGAGGAGGTCACTGTGGCCGAGGAGACAGCGATGCCGGGGGCTTGCATCCAGGACTTATTTCCTCCGCACAGCCATTCTTGCTGGCCACTGGAGAGATAGAAGTTTATTAGTCTGAGATTGAGGACTGTAACCGTGGTGGAAGCAGCGTTGGAATGTGTGCTAACGTCACCCTCTCCCATGTCATTAGCATTCAGTGCTGTCTCGAAAGTTCGTGGAAGTCATGACGGGATACAATGAAGCACAGACGCTCTTTCGGGAGCGAAGCAAAGGGCGCATTCAGCGCCAGCTAGAAATAAGTGAGTACGAGTCTCCGGTTTCTTCCTCGGGCCTCCCTCTGTGCTGTAGCGTCACACCAGACATAGTGTTAGCAAAAACATCTCTGTCTTACCAGTGTTGTAAAGAGTCAAAGTCTCTTATAGCATCAACCTTGAGTGAACCAAAACTGTCAGTATTTATCTCCTAGAAAAATTCTCAGTGAGGGGCTGGGAAGGTGGCTCAGTGGTAGAGCGCTTGCCTTGCATGCCTGAGGCCCTGGGTTCGATTCCTCAGCACCACATTAGCAAAAAGAAAAAAGCTGGGAGTGGCGCTGTGGCTCAAGTGGTAGAGCGCTAACCTTGAGCAGAAGAGCTGAGAGACAGCGCCCAGGCCCAGAGTTCAGGCCCCACGACTGGACCAAAAAAAAAAAAAAAGAAAAATTCTCAGTGAGGTGACTTGAAGTTACCAGACTTTCAGACATTCCTTCTGTACCCTGTGGCCTCTGCTGCTGCCCTGGTCAGGAGATGGTCTCGCATTCTGCTCATTGATACGTGCCATGCCAGCTTACCAGGTTTAACCTTTTGTCCAGAAAGCAGGGTTATTTTTGTAGGTGTTCGTGTTAATACCGTGTCAGGTTTGATGACTTGTTCTAGTTACAAGGTGTCCCTGGCACTGTCAACCCTTCTTGCCACTCAGCTTCTTTCCTAGCAAAAGTATATTTAGCAGGGAGAAAACATTGTTTAAAACATTCACCACTCCTTTGCCTTGTAGTTGATAACTTAGCGTCACAGAGCTCCGGTTGTAGACGGCGCCCTGTCCTCAGTACAGTTTGCTTTTTGTCCTCAGCTGGAAGAACCACCACGGATGAGGAGCTGGAGGAGATGCTGGAAAGCGGGAAGCCCTCCATCTTCACCTCCGATGTGAGTGCCAGCGCTGCACACGCGCTTACGCAGAGGACCCTATCTTTCACTTCCAAACCAGCAGCAGCTCAGTAACGGTCTTGTGCTTTTGTATTTCACAGATTATATCAGATTCACAGATTACTAGACAAGCTCTCAACGAGATTGAGTCACGTCACAAAGACATCATGAAGCTGGAGACCAGCATCCGAGAGCTGCATGAGATGTTTATGGATATGGCCATGTTTGTTGAGACACAGGTAATTACATCTCCATGTAGATGCCAGCCATGGGGAAAATCATACACATGGGCTCACTGTCTAGAAAAAGTTAAAATTAAATTGTTGATTGCAGTATTGAATGTAACACTGAAATGCTGCGAAGTGCTTAGCCTCTCATCAGTCAGGGGCTGGCCCCGTTAAATGAGTCATGTGTATAGGTCAGCCAGGCTCACAGGCAGCCATGGGCAGCATGTATTTTTTGTTCATAGAAAAATTTTAGTGAACTACATATGTTTATGGTACAATTTTAGGTTAAAAGGCAATACAAGTTTTACATAGATAGCTGTACCTATAAACAAGTGCACACAGAAAACACCTATGGAGTGGGCTCAGCTCTTTTCCCAGAGAGGGAAATACACGCAACATTGTATTCATGGTGGGGCTACAGGACATTACTTTTCCTCTGTCTGCTTTCAAGTTCCCTACAAGGGAGAATATTCCAGTAAAGACTGGGGGGTATCCCGGGGGCGAGCCTCCAGGCCTCCATGGCTCTGACACTGGGGACAGGTGCTGCTCCTCCGTGGCACTGTCAGGGAGGCCTGGGAGGCTCCACCATCACAAACGCACAGATGGTGCGTGATCTCCTGTGTGGGCTAGCTCAGCCCCGCCTTGCTGTGCAGTCCTGTGTGGGGGGGGGGGGGGTGCTGAGACTCTCAGGATGGAAAGGTGCTGGGGTCAGGATGATCTGGCTAGAGTTGGCTTCTGAGATGATTTTTGTGCTGCTTCTCTAGCCTGTAAGGCTGGTCAGGAAGTCAGCCCATGGGTGGATTTTGTTCCCATGGGCTTCTCTAGCCTTGTGAGAAGTGAGGCATATTTTGAGGAACTTCTTCATTCAGAAAAACAAGTCAACTGCAGCAGTTTTCTGGATGTGACTGGATGTGGGGGTGCTCCTTTTGGGTCTTGGGTGGAGTAGTCGCCCTCAGCGTGAGCACCCGGGAGCAGGGAGTCTGGTGGTGGCAGGAAGTGTCCAAGGGAGCCCAGGATGCTTTGCAATCCCTGAAGACTTTATCCCGTCCCAGGCTTTCATGGCAGTGTGGCAGCCCTGCTTCATTTGCAGCTTGGCCTCTCTGCTCCCTTCTAGAAGTCTCAGCGCCACCGTACATTGACTCCTCTGATCACATGTGTGTCCAGCGAAGGCTGGGAGAGTAAGTTTGTGAATGATAAGTTGCTTCTCTGTCCTCTTTGAATGCTTTGCTGCTTGGGCTGCAGACTGTCTCCTGGCGGGCAGAAGCCAGGTAATGTGTTTGCTCCCCCGCGCCAGGCACGGCGGGCCATCCCCTTGCACTCTTCTCAGTACAGTCACCCTGACGCCACCCAGAAGCTGTGGCGGCTTACTGACCGCTTAAAGAAATAGCAGTGACTGTGTACATAGGAGACAGGATGTCATCCTTTGTGTTAAATGCCTTGCACACGAGTTCAGTGCAGGGCTTGTGGCCAGCCTTCACCGTTCATCTGTCAGGTCTCCCCAAGGTGTCTGAGCACTGATGAATGTGCTCCCACTAACGCATGCCTCAGGACCGATGGATGTGCAGGTCTGTCAGTGCTGCCACCCATCACTTTAGCAGTCTTTAAGACACAAATTGAATTTCAGTTGCTTCCTGTTGGCACACCTTCCACCTTCCCACACAGGTGAAAGAAATTTACTACTCATTCCATGCCCATTATGTTTATATAAAAGCTTCATGTTGTGTTGTTGTCAAGATATGTCTTTAAATCATTTGAAAATGTCTGCTAAGGTTGAAACTTTTTGTTTGAAGGGTGAAATGATCAACAACATCGAGAAAAATGTTATGAATGCCACAGATTATGTAGAACATGCTAAAGAAGAAACTAAAAAGGCTATTAAATATCACAGCAAAGCAAGAAGGGTGAGTTTGGCTTTTAAGAATTAAGTGTTTTTCCTTAGTTTGTTTTCAAGTTGTCATAGGCTAACATAAGCCTGTTGGAAAGATAGTACCTCCAAATAAAAATTGCTTAAATGTTTCATCTTAAAACAAAAGTCATTCTTTTTGCCTAATAAGTTGAAGGCTTTTCAGATCAGTTGACTAAAAACCACTTTGTATTCTAAGTAGTCAGACCCCTTCACAGCCTCCAGTCTGTGCTGTTTCCCTGTTTGGTTTGGGGTTCTGTTCCCAGGGGGCTGGTGGATGGGGACGTTTCCTGAAAACAACAGGCTACCTATTTTATGCAGTAGATGTTTCTGCTCTGCTTATTTGCTGGTTCTTTGCTTTGGAGAGGGAAGGGAAGTCACTGGAGGTGGGGACCTGGCGTCTTCATGTAGCACCCACGGAAAGGCATGTCCCAAAACAGGAGTCGTGTGCCCTATGACTGTGGACTGTGTGTGCACACAGAGAAAGGGGCCTAAACACAGGAGTCAGCGCAGGGCATGTGTGTGTGCCCTGCACGCACGCGTTTGTGTGCAGCAGTGCAAGGGTGACAGTATGAACAGCTCACAAGGACGGAAGCTCTTCCAGAAGATCACGGGGCAAGAGGGGGCAGGGCTGCCGACAGCAGACCGGAGGTGAGAGGCAGGGCCTTCCCACCCCTCGTTCTTGCTTCCCAGTCACTGTGCGGTGACACACCTCAGTCCCTCGTCATGTCCCCCTGCGCCCCACTGCTGAGACACATGCTGTCAGTGACCCGTCACCTGTCCTCCGGGCTGACCTTGAACACCGAATCACCCTGAGAACGCAGGACTCAGCATGTTGGCCACAGGGATGGCCCGTGTTATTCCATGACAGATGTCGTCTGTGGCCTGGCGCTATTGGCCGCTATAATCCACTTGCTTTCCTTTGACAGAAGAAGTGGATGATTGCTGCTGTGTCAGTGGCTGTCATTGCCCTGCTTGCTCTAATTATTGGCTTATCCGTTGGCAAATGACGGTGTGGATGGCGCTGGGTGCTTGCCGCTGACAGGGCAGCAGTAAGTAACTAATCAACTAATTTACTTGTTAACTTTTTCAATCAGCCAGGAGGAGTGTTTGCCCGGTTCTTCTACACTTAGCGCTCACTCACTGAGCCAGTCCCCTGAGCTCTGTGTGTCGTCTACGCTCGTCCCCTGAGCTCGATATGGCACTCACCCAAGCCAGTCCCCTGAGCATGGCGGGTCATGTTTACTGAGAGCCACACTGGCCTGTCTGGCTCAGTTTCTCCAGCAGCCAGCCCTCATGCCCCGCAGTGTGGCTTGTGACAGGCGGCGCCCTGGGACACCCCAGTGCACAGTGAGGGCTCAGAAAATGCCAGTGGGGGGTCAGTGGGGCACACCCTCCATGAAGAGGCAGTGTTTGGCACGGCCGTACCTCTGCAGCTCACCTTCAGTGTGGTAGCGAGCGCTGCTCTCCTCGGGGTTCACTGGGGGCAGCGTCCACTCTCCTCATTGGATGGATGCCTGCGTGCATCCGGTGCTGCCGGCTGGGAGCTGGTCAGCTGACAGGCAGCATCTCCGTCTGTGTCTGTGTCTGTGGTGCCCCCCCCAGACTCTGCTTGTCTTGTGCATGGAAGCACCTTCTGCATTAGCCGTAAGTTGGGGTACCGATCCCCGATACTGCTTCCCAGTGCTTGTGGAGAGAATGTGTGAGGTGCTGGGGCGCCTAGAGCATTAGGGCAGCCCTGCTGATCGCGTTCTGTTAGGCAGAGCCTCATACCAACAGCGCTTGCCACCTGCACACTCTGTCCTGGGGGCAGCGCCTGCCGTGCTTCGCTTCAGTCAGTGGTAGTCAGGTGGGGGCGTCCCGACGCCCGCGAGCTCCACAGGCTTGGGGGGCAGCCCGTCACCAGCGAGCGCCCATTCCCGGGCACTTCTGCACGGGACCTCCAGCCCTGGGGACAGGACCTCACACCCTCTGCCCGGCAGGATGTTTTCGGTGTCTCTTAGCGTTTTCCTCTTAACTTTGCTTAACTGAAAATACAGCTTACGAGGTTACTCACTGCTGAAACACGGTGTTTCTCAGTGCTTTTCTAATCCTCTCTAAAATAAGCCTTTTCTTTGTTTTTTCTAGTGGCCGTCACATGGCCAGTGCAGTGGTAATACCAGAGGTGGAGTTGCATTCAAAGCTGGGGCCCGGTGGGGTGTGTTGCTTATTGTGGTGCTGCTGGGTGTTGACATTGACTGAGAGAAGCCTCCCTGTGCCGTACCCAGGGAGCACAGGGTGCCATGCTCGGTGCCTGCGACGGGTCATCTTGGTGCCCATAGACACGTGGGAACGACCTGTTTTTGTAAAACCAAAGTACATGCCAACTCCTCTTGAGCCCTGCTCCCAGCCCCTTCTGCTTTTATTTTTCAGGTAGGGTCTCCTGTTTTTGCTTGGGGTGGCTTTGGGCCTTGAGCCCCCCACCTGTGCCTCACAGACACGCATTCCCACATGTGGATCAAGATGCACTTTCTCTCAAGGCCTTGTCTGGCCTCCTGAGTAGCTGGAGTCCGGCGTGAGTCGCTGCTTTGATCACACTCTGACAGACGCACTCTTTCAGGCCAAAGCAGACCTGTGCTGCGTGTCCACTGTGCTGCAGCTGCGCTCATCCTCGTCCCCAGGACGCGGCTGTGCACAGGGCTCCCGTCTTCGTGAGGAGACGCAGACCCAGGGTTGTGCAGTGGTTGACGGTAGAGCTGTCATCACTCGATGACTTGAGCTCATCCAGCTGACTCCACAGACACCTTTACTACGGGAGAGGGTGGTGGTCAGGTCTGTGAAACATGGGGTGCAGGCGTGACACCCTACATGCCACATATCCCACAGTTCTGGAAGCTGCTGAGTGAGGGTCACGCACTCAGCGGGGAGCACGGGAGCAGGAGCGGAGTGGAAGGGCGGCTGCTGATGGCAGAGGTCCTGATGGGCCAGGAAGTCTGGAGGAGGCACCTGGACCGCAGGGAATCAGTGCTGTGGGGATGAGGAGTGAAGACGCTGACCCAGGACTCACCTGGAAGTCACCAAGGGCCTGCCCCTCTGACCTGAGTGAGGCCGGTGTCATCGATGGGGCTCTCAGTGCGCAGCTCACAGAGGGCAGTCTAGGGCCAGGAGGCAGAGCCCTTGCCTGTCTGTGTGCTGGGGATAGGTCCCAGAGCTCACACAGGCCTGGCAAGTGCTGAGCCACAGAGCCCCGCCACGGAGCCCCTTCTCAGGACTTCTTGACACACGCGCGTCATGGCTCGAGATTGTAGCTGTCACCCAGAAAGAGAATCTCTGCTTTTTAGAAGAGAACTTGCAGCCAGCAGCGTGGCATGCCTTTTGTCTTCCTGGATCCTTTCCTCCTCCTTTAGACAAGAATCCCAGGGAGGCAGAATGTCTTCAGCTAGACGCCTTTAGTGGAGCTGGGATGTTGATAGCGAAGCCTCGAGAAGCAGCCAGTGCTGGGCCAGGCCACGCCTGCTGCGGGGCGGGGCGGGGCGGTACGAGGCAGAACTTCGATGCCACTCGCCTTAAGTTATTAAGAGTTATTATGTGTTCCACACATCTAGGATGTAAAAAGTACACTGCTTTTGGAGGTTTTCCTTTTCTGTACTTTTCTATGACCTTGTAGTTGTCTTTTAAACTTAAGTTTCAGAAAGATTTTGTTAGGAAATGATTTTGTGGATTCTTTTTCTTTGATACATTGCAAATTAACGTTTTTCTTTATCTTGCAGAAAATGATGTTCATGATTATTTGTGTAGTTATTTTGATTGTGATCCTTGGAATTATCCTAGCAACAACATTGTCATAGCAACCACGTCCCAAAGAGCCATTTGTCCCTGGAGACCCAGACTTCATCTGCAGCAGAGTCCGCGTCCCGTCGCTTCAGGAGTGGACGTGGACGCTGCGGCTCCATGTTGCATTCACTAACGAGCTCTGTTGGTGAGTGGCAGGGCCGAGGCCCCGCTGCCAGTCCACCCCGCAGATGCCCAGTGGATATGACGCACTGCCCGTGGCCCGAGGCTTGGCACAGACTTAACCGTGTGAGTCTGCTGAAATCTCAGTGGCCTGGGAATAAGGAATGATTGAAAATTGCAATTTTTAAAAACTATTTCAGTGTTAAAATGTATGTGAAGTTTAATTAGGAATAATTTTATGTTATGAAGCTATTTGATTGCTGGTCTAAGCCTAGCTTTCTTCCCCTCCTCCCAGCTGATATATGCTAATTAAGAGCCTTTTTATACTAGGTTTAATTCATGTTTATATTTTATTTGCAGAAAGAGTTTTTATTATCACAGGGCTGTTTTGTAAGATATTTGTAATTTTGAATGTTTATGGATTGTTTAATATATTAACATCTAATTGACCCCTTTTTATATGCTAGATGTGGCCCTGCTAAGGACCTGGACCGGGTTGTGATACTGGTCCTTGTTAACTGGGGGCGGGGGAGGGGGGCTCTGCAGCTTCCTGTGGTCACACAAACACCTGTTGCATAGCCTCACGGGCCTTCTGCTGACGGTGACTTAGGGAGTTTGAGCATGCCCAGTACTGCTCCTGAGAACTCCGGGCTGTTGGAGCCAGCTCATTGCGGCTACCTGCCCCAGTACTGAGGTAATAAATATTCCTGTCATAAAGAGCACGGTCTCCTCTGCTCGCAGGCAACCAGATGGTGTTTCTGTTTACGTTGATAGAGTCTGAACTTGAGATGGTGATGAGACCAAGATTTAGTGTTCTCTAAACTCAAGGAAATGTGTCCCAGATATTAAGTAATCCTGGTGAATTGAAATTCTTGAAACCTAGATGTTAAGTACTTAGTATTCTACTGAACTCTTAATTCCCAAAGTTTATGAGTCTGTGATGCTTATTGAGGCTTTTAGTTTCAGACTGTGATTTATTTTTGCCTTGGGAACTGTCACTCGCGTTAGCAGAGTCCTCGGAGCGGCCCTTCCCGACTGCTGTGAGGGCCTGAGACTGGACTCTGACATTGTCTGCTCTGAATTAACATGTTGCTGGTTTTGTCGCTCACTAAGTGTGAGCAGCATTGAACGCTTTAGAAACCATGTTCCTTGTTACACGTAATTACGAGTTTCACAGCCTGGCTTCCCATGGCCATGCGGTGTGCTCCGGGGTGGCGCGGGAGCGCTGGGCTGGGGCTGTGTGCCGGCTTGTTGTCAGAGGCACCGGAGTCTTTAGGATAAGCTAGCGAACAGTGTGTGCGGCGGCGGCTCTCTGCACATGGGCATCGTGAGGCAGTGTGGACGGATGCCCGTGCGCTGGCAAGAGCCCCTTCCCCTCACCTTTCCCTTCCAGCTCCCCTCGGCCCTCAGTTCCCAGCTGCCTCCTGCCGTGTCTTCTCCGGAGGCGCCCAGGCACCTGACGGCGCCCTGGCTGTGCTTTCTGACGGGACGGCGGTTAGCCCCTTGTGTCTGGAGATGGAAGTCAGCGGTCAGTGCCTTCCATGCCTTCTGAAACTCCATCAACAAATGTGTTTACACACTCACGCACCAGCTCTTTCGGTCGTTTCTTCAAATATTTTGTGTTTGTATTAAAGATTTCAGAGAAGCAAAACAATGCTTTGTACCTTGTCATTCTTGGGAAGATTTTTGGGGAGGGACGTTATCACATGTCCATGAATAAATTGTTGAACCAAGCCCTTCCGTGCCTGTTCTGCTGCCTCCTGTGAGCTGGGCATTGGAGACATTTTTGTTCACATCGGCTTGGATTCTTTGTCAGTGCTAGTGCCAGGCTCTCCGGCCAGCGTCCCGGGGGGCAGCGCTGTGTATCAAGGGCTGGCTCCCTGCTGTCCATAACCAGCACTGCCGCAGCGGACACAGGCAGAGGCGTGTCTGCGTGGTTTGCCAGCTCTCAGCACCACGAGCTCACGGGGGCACACCCCCGGTGCCTCCAACCTCACCGATTGCTGATTGAGACAGGTCTCTAGATCTTCCCCAGGTCTGGCCTCAGACTTCAATCTCTCAATCTCTCCCTCCCACAAAGCAAAAACCAGAATTGGTTTGTTTTTTTTTTTTTGGTTGGTTGTAGGGCTTGAACTCTGGGCCTGGACGCTGTCCCTCAGCGCTTCAGCTCAAGATGAGCACTCTACCACTTGAGCCACAGCACCACTTCCAGTTTTCTGGTGGTTAATTGGAGGTGAATCTCATGGTCTTTCCTGCCTGGGCTGGCTTTGAACCATGATCCTCAGATCTCAGCCTCCTGAGTAGCTAGGATGACAGGTGTGAGCCACCAGCATCCAGCTTCAGAACTTTTATTTAAAATAGGTAAGTTGGTACTGAAGAAAATTAATTCAGATGGTCAGATTTCTCCTACTTTAGTCTCCCCTTCCAATGTGAATTACTTTAAATCACAGTCAATCACAGGCACACTCACTTAATTCCTTTGTTCATACTTTGAAAATAGTTTATCCCCCATGAGTTTTTTTTTTATGAATTTCTTTAATAAATTGAAGCCTACATTTCAAGTGAAATGAAATGGGATGTAAACTATGGGTTGTCTTGACTTGGGAGAATACCTGGCCCCTGACTCTGGTCCTGAGGCCAGCAAGCAACAGAAGACTGGCGTGGAGCATGATCTCAGTACCATGGCCACGGGGCCCTGGCCGTGCCTGGCTCCCGGTGACTGAGCTTGAGGATAAAATTCACTGACTGTTGGCACCCAGGCAGGCCTTCCTAATGGTAGCACCTGACCGCAAGAGGGGGTTCCCGGGCGGGGCCTGGGTCCCGGGGAGCGGACCGTGGGGTGCCTGGGCGGGGTGTGGGGGCCTGGGGAGTGGGCTGCGGGGTACCCGGGCGGGGCACCGGGGAGCGGGTGTGATTTGGAGCTAGGTGATGGGACTGGCCGTGGCGTGATTGCACTCGATCTCACCATGGGGCTGTGAGCTGCTTGGGCACCCTACAGGTGCCGCGTTACGTCCCGATACTGGCACCAGGCTGTAATGACCAAATTGGGGCAGGTAGCGTTCCCAGCTCCTAGACAGCTTTACATTACAAAACAATGGGTTTTGTTACGATATGCTTTTGCACATGGATGCCTTGTACTTTGGTCATGTTTGCCCCTCCCACCGCCCACTCTTGTTTATCCCCCACCCCGCCCTGCCGCTGCCCACAGCAAATAGTCTTCTGTATGTATAGTCATAACCTTTTTCTTTGTTTCTTTTTAGGTCTAGATTCTGCCTAAAAGAGAAAATATGATATTCAGCCTTTGCAAAATTTAGCTGAGGATTGAGCTCCGGGCTCAACCTTGCTAGCCAGGAGTGCTGTCACTTGAACAACTTTTGTCTTGCTTTTTGCTGGTGATTTTGGAGATGAAGTCTCATGGGCTTTTCTACCATGGCTGGCCTCAGACTGAGATCCTCCAGATCCCAGCTTCCTGAGTAGATAGGAATAGAGGCGTGAGCCGCTGGCACGCGGCCCACTCCTGCTTCTTGATCATGCAGTCAGGCTGGGCTGGTTCCATGGCTTGGCTGTGTTGAGCAGCGCTGCTGCCAGCCGTGGGTGGTGTCTGCCGACTTACATTCCTTGGAGCGTGTGCCGGGAGCGGTGTGGTGGGGCAGAGTCCTGCGGTGGATCGCGCTCCCTTCCCTGCGGATTTCCACAGCACTGCGCTGCTCTGCGTGCCAGCCGCACGGGAGGCCCTGCTTTCCCATGCGCTGCTGGTGCTTTGCTGCTTCACGGGGTATGGCTGCATGTGCATGCTGCGTGGTGCTGTTGGATGCCTCTTCGTTACTCACAGGTACCACTGCAGCTGATGGTGGGCCGTGGCTTCCCTGCCACGGCCAAAGGACTTTCTGTGTGCTGTCCTCCTCCTGGGGGCTCAGCAGGGCCCAGCGCTGGGGCTTCCCTTTGCCATGGCTCTCATGGCCTGCGTGGCCTCTGATGACCAGCAGAGGGCGGCCCTCCGCAGTGCCTGAGCCCAGGCCTCGGCCCTGTGCTGGAGCATGGCTTCTCTTTCCCTTTTGCAACTTTTCTTAAAAAACCTTTAGTCCATAGAAAATGCATCAATCAGATCCCATCTTCTCACTGACCCATGCGACCCTTTAAGAGCTGAAAGCCAGGCCCCTGGGGCCCTCAGGCTTCTGGAGCCAGCAGAACATGAATAATTATCTACAATGGCTACCTGAGTGGCATCCTCCCGCTGTGATCCCAAGGAGGGCTCACGGATGGCCTCCGTGCAACAGAGCCCATCAGAGGTCCGTGAGGGGCCCAGGGCAGCAGGGTGCCATCCTGGTCAGTGGGAGCCTGCAGGGCTGGCCTGGGCTTCAGTAAGCAGGAGAAGGTCCTGGAGGAGATTCCCACAATTCCTAGTGGCTCTGCACAGCCCTGCTGGCGGCTGGGGCCGGGGTGAGGAGGGGCAAGGGTCAGCTCAGTAGGGACAAGTGATGGGAGCTTGTCCAGCAGCACTGTGGGCTCCCAACTGCTTTGGAACTTCCAAGATTCAAATCAAGATAAAAGCAAGCCACCTGGACCCAGCCCTGGCTCCATACCCACCCATCACCATTGAGGAGAGCTGGCTGGGAGGCTAGGGTCCACCGGGCCCCTGAGATTCAGGCTGGCTCTCAGTGGGTGACTGAAGACTGGGGCCACCTTGCCCAGGACACCAGCACTGCACTCTGGGTGTGTGCACGTGCATGTGTGTGTGTGTGTGTGTGTGTGTGTGTGCGCGCGCGCATACGTGCAGGTGTGCAGAGGGCTCAGGCCCTGGCTAAACGAGGGTAGGCTGGGCGGACATGGGTTTGGGAGGCCAGAAGGGCCCTGATTCCGTCCCAGGATATTCCCGGGCCTGAGCAGGTGCATTGGGAGCCTGTGGTGGAGAGTCTGCAGCAGCAGCAGGAGGGACTGGGGGGAGGGCTGGCCCAGGACAATGGAGCCCAGAGCCCAGAGTGCTAATGCTTCCTGGAAGAGGCAAAGCTATGAACTGTCCGCATCCCTGTGGACAAGCTCTCAGATCTCACTGCAAAGATGGAGCGCCAGTGTGGCCAGTGGGTAGAGAATGAAATAATGTATTAACAGCTGACCATCCAGTCAGCTGACCTCCAACTCAGGGCCCTTCCCAGCTGTTCCCCAGTTTTCTGAATGCCGCGACTATCGCCATGCATAGCATGCTTAGCAACGACTTTTTTTTCTTTTTCTTTTTGGTGTCAGTGCTGGGGTTTGAATTCAGGGCCTGGGTGCTATCCTTGAGCTTTTGTGCTTAAGGCTAGTGCTCTACCGCTTGAACCACAGCTCCATTTCTGGCATTTTGGTGGTTAATTGGAGATAACCTCACAGACTTTCTTGCCCCAGCTGACTTTGAACTGCTAGGATTACAGGCTTCAGCCATTGGCACTCAGCTCCCAGCATTTTTTTTTTAATTTAAAGTCATTTTTGTTTATTTTATTTTTTAATTTTTAAATTGATACTATAGAGGCCATATACAGAGGGTTACATTGCATAAGCCAAGTAAAGAGTAAATTTCTTCTTGGACAGTGTCACCCTTCCTTTGCTCCATTTTCATTCTTATCTGGTGCATATGGGTGGGACACAGTGCGATCATTTGCTGTATGTATATACTGTGTAATGATCAAATTGTGATTAGCATTTCCACTTCCTTAAACGTTTATTATGTCCTTCAGCTGGGACCTTTGAGCCATTCTCTTCCAGGTCTTCACTGAGTGTCTGGGAAGTTGCTAGGACAGAGCTTCCCCTCCCTCCTCCCCCTCTCTCCTCCCCCCCCCCCCTTGCAGCACTTTGGTTTGAACTCAGGGTCTCATACTTTCCTTCCATCTGTCTGTCATCTACATTGTGCCCCTCCACATTTCACTGTGGCCCTGCTGTGTGCCGGTGGCCCTTCTTCCCAGCTCAGGCGGCCCTTCCTTCCCAGCCCTTCCTTCCCAGCTCAGGCAGCCCTTCCTTCCCAGCCCTTCCTTCCTAGCTCTTCCTTCCGGGCCCTCCTTCCCAGCTCAGGTGGCCCTTCCTTCCCAGCCCTTCCTTCCCAGCCCTTCCTTCCCAGCCCTTCCTTCCCAGCTCAGGCAGCCCTTCCTTCCCAGCTCTTCCTTCCTGGCCCTTCCTTCCCAGCTCTTTCTTCCCAGCTCAGACGGCCCTTCCTTCCGGGCCCTCCTTCCCAGCTCAGGCAGCCCTTCCTTCCCAGCCCTTCCTTCCCAGCCCTTCCTTCCCAGCCCTTCCTTCCCAGCTCAGGCAGCCCTTCCTTCCCGGCCCTTCCTTCCCAGCTCAGGCAGCCCTTCCTTCCTGGCCCTTTCTTCCCAGCTCAGGTGGCCCTTCCTTCCCGGCCCTTCCTTCCCAGCTCAGGCAGCCCTTCCTTCCCAGCTCAGGTGGCCCTTCCTTCCCAGCCCTTCCTTCCCGGCTCAGGCAGCCCTTCCTTCCCAGCCCTTCCTTCCCAGCTCTTCCTTCCTGGCCCTTCCTTCCCAGCTCTTTCTTCCCAGCTCAGACGGCCCTTCCTTCCGGGCCCTCCTTCCCAGCTCAGGCAGTCTTTCCTTCCCAGCTCTTTCTTCCCAGCTCTTTCTTCCCAGCTTAGACGGCCCTTCCTTCCCAGCCCTTCCTTCCCGGCCCTTCCTTCCCGGCCCTTCCT